ACGAACATTTTGATGCCTTTTGATCATTTTGAAACGGATTTTTCATGAAAGGGCAAAAATCCGGGCAAGTCCATATACGTCGACCACCAATCCCAGTGTGATCCACGATGTTTTAAGTCCTTATTTTGATCAAAATTAAAGGGGACATTGTCACTATCGTTTTGCACCAAATTTCGTCCGATTTGGTTTCCGTTTGAGCATATTCCCAATTTGGGAAGTCGTTGGAAAGTGTGATTCCGGCGATTGGAAAATCTTGCCATTTTCAACCTTGAAATTTGGGCTCTTTGGTCTTCAATTGAGCACAAAAATTATACCAAATTGTAGCCCTTTGCGATTCAGTTGCGACGGACCTATGTTTGCGACGATTTGACCCTTGGATCTCAAATTATGGCTTCACGAAGTATGGGATGTCTTCTTTTAAAATCCTGATTTTTATGTTTTTGGGCTCATCTTCTCTCTAGAATTTCTCTCTTCTCGGGCCACGTCATGACACGTGCCATATGTCAAAATGACCGAGTCGTCGAGACTTAGCTCGTATCCGAATTTGAGCTTGTTTTGATTCAAAATGGGTGAGTTATGAGCATTTGAAAATCATCCTGAGAGATGAAAACCCAGTTTCCAAAATGGAAATTGGTTCACCAAGGGTGCACCGAAATAGTGTAAAACCCACCCTTTAATTTGTAGTTATAAGGTCCCTTTTCAGCATGATAGGAATTGGATTTGTGAACTAAGTTTCGTTCTGATCATATCAAAATTTGTTGGAATGTCACGAAACTTTGCGAGCGTCCTTCGGGCATCCCAAACTACCTTGTTCATGCCTTTTGAAGCCGTTGTAGTACTCTTTCCGAGGTTGCCTAGTTTTAGTTTTATTTTGCAGTGTTTCCATGGTCTGGCGGTACCTTAGGTACCGGCAGGACCAGGTTATTGCTGGCTCTCTCCTTATGCCTATTGGGGATACAAGTATGTCAAAAATGACATATAACAATGCCTATCTTAAAAGATAAATTGATATTGTAGATTAATGAAACTAGATATCATTAGTGGCGACAATCCCCTTGTCTCGATGGCTTTCTTATTTCTCTCTTCAAGTCCTTTGGGGTCACCCTGAAATTGGATATCATGGCTTTCCTCGAGAATTCCACTCTAGGGCCACCATCCACAATGCTATGAATGCCACCTTCATAGCCTTGATTTCCAAAATTGTGGGTGTTGAAGAACTTGGACTTCAAGCCTATTACCATGTAAATAGTTCTACAAGATCCTTTCCAAGGTTCTTACCTCTTGGCTCAAGTCGGTTCTCGGAGGGTCATCTCCCCTTCATAAGGAGCTTTTGTGAAGGATCGTCAAATTCTAGATGGGGCCTTAATCTCCCATGAATGCATCCACACTCAGTCCAGTTCCAAAATTCCCGGTTTGGTTATTAAATTAGACTGCGAAAAAGCCTATGAACATGTTGATGTGAGTGTTCTCGATGAAACCCTTTTCATAATAGTTTTAGGGGGATTCTGACACAAATGAATTCAAGGGTGAATTTCCAATCCTCAGTTCTTATTTCTTATCAACGGCATCCCAAAGGGTCCAAGCGTCACGTGGTCTTTGCCAAGGAGGCCCACTTTCACCTTTCCTCTTTGCAATAGTGGCCACGGCCTTCAGTGCCTCCATTTCCTTGATGTACAGGGTGGGTCTCCTCTCTGGTTTTAAAATAGGTAGGTCGGGCCCCTCGATCTCCCACCTCCAATACGCTGATGACACCCATATATTTTGCAAGGCCTCTCAGCAAGAAACACACTACGTATTGCTTTTTCTCCGATGCTTCGAGGTTGCTATGGATTTTAGCATTGAGATTGTGTACAAAAGACCATTCATCTTTTGTACAAGGAGGTCACAACCACAAAATGGGTGGTTATAACAGTGTCATTGATTAGACACGAAGTTCCAAAAAAGAATTCTTGGACTTCGTGACTCACCCGAAGTCATCCAATTTGACATCTAATGATTGAGAATGATTGTGACCTCCATGTACAAAAGATTAATGGTCTCTTTGTAGACAATCCTTTTAAAATTAACCTGGAAAAAATGAAGATGATGGGTATTTGTCTTGACCAAGCCTCTACTAATACGTTCGCTGATCGATGGGGGTGTGCTGTAGATACACCGCAATCCACTTACCTCGGTCTCCCACTTCGTCTTGGCCTATACCCAGAGTCCAACATTGGAGCCCAGTTGTAGATAAAATTGGAAGGAGATTGGCTACTTGGAAGGGGAGATTCTTATCTCCTATTGGCAGAGTGACGCTCATTAAGGCCACTCTCTAACATTCCCCTCTTTTTAATGTCTCTTCTCTATATGCCAGCAGCAGTAATAGCTAGGTTGGAAAAGCTAATGAGGAATTTCCTTTGGCGAGCGAAGGAAATCACAAGTTCCACCTCATTTCCTGGGCCAAGGTTTGCTGACCCAAAGCTCAAGGGGGTCTTGGTTACAGGACCTCAGATCCAACAACATTGCCTTGATGGAAAAATGGTGGTGGCGCTATGCCACCCAACCCAACGATCTCTGGCGAGATGTTATCAAAGGCAAGTGTTGCCGCGAAGACCATGCATGGCTTCCCTCATGCAAAATGGGGGGAAACATCTCTGGATTTTGGCAGTCTCTTCTTCATTGTTGCCAACCCTTCCTCAACCAGGTGCGCTACTCACCCAGAAGTGGTTATAGGGTCAGATTGTGGCACGATACCTGGCCTGGGTGGGCCCCCCTCAGATTCCTGTCCCCCTTCCTCCTAATTGGCGACCCTTTCTCAACTGTAGCTGATGCTTTGCCACCTCTCACTCCCCTAGATCCTGGAACCCAAACTTCTGCCGATCTCTCGCAGACCATGAGCATGACCAAGTTTTGGAACTTTTGGCCCTTCTCCATTCGGTCTACCTCCCACCCTCAGGGGATGCCAAGATCATACGGTCTCCCTCCTCCTCAGGCACCTTCTTTGTCACATTCTACCGCTGTTTCTCCTTGCAATCTATCCCCACCTTGACAACTCGATCCATCGCAGCAAAGGCATGGTGTTCCTTCTTTCTTCCCAAGATCCAATTCTTTAATTGGATTGCTCCCCATGAGAGGGCCTTTAGATTGGACAGTTGCCACGCAGAGGCTTAACCTAATAGATGCACTATGTGCCTAAAAGCCAAAGAGACAAATCAGCACATATTCCTACATTGCAAGGTTGCAATGGCCTTGTGGACGGACATGCTCCTCCTCTTCAATTGGTCGTGGGTTACCCGTTAATCCGTCCCTTGTCTTTTCTCTGCATGCCTTCTCACCCCTTGGAGACAACCCAGAAAACTCCTTTGGAGGGCTTCCATCTCAGCCATTCTGTAGACCATTTGATTAGAAAGAAATATTAGGATTTTCAAAGGAGAGAAGGCCACCTGCTCTGTTCTTATTTAAAAGAGATGATCCCTTGTTACCTTTTGGGCCCGCAATCAGAAACTTTGGACTAACTACTCCTTCACCGACCTACAGACCTTGTTGAATCTCAGAGCCCATACGATTCCCCGTGCCTCTCTATGGAGGCCGCCTGACTTTGGGGTTATCAAACTGAATTTTGATGGTTGCTCGCTTGGCAACCCAGGCCCTCAGTCGTTGGAGGCATGTTTAGAGATTATGAAGGTTTCAATCTCTTATCCTTCTCCTTGCCAATTGGTTCTGCAGTCCACCACAGTGGAGTCTATCACCCTTCTTGAAGGGACTTCATAAATTGACATGGAGTGGAGTACCCAGTTAATGGTCGAGGTAGACTCTAGAAACGTCATCACTTGGGTCTCTGGAGTAGCCCCATGCCTATGGAGACTAGACCACATTTTTGTGGAGATAGCTCACATTTGTAGCAGTGCTAGGGTCTCCTGGAGACACATCGATATAGGGGTGGCAATGATTCGGACCCCACTGGATCCGAAGTTATCGGACCTTCACCTGGACCCCGATTGGACCAGAAGTTATCAAACCCGGACCCGGACCTGGATCCCAACTGTGACATGGACCTCGATCAAACCCAAAACAAAATGTATATCTTAATATAGTAAATATATTTAAACATTATGCTAAATATATACATGTATTATTCAAATATTATAACTAAAAGCATATAGTTATATTTGTCTAAATATTATTAATCTATTATAGATTAAATATTATTTAAATAATACCACTATTCAGGTTGGGTCCGGGTCGGGTCTACTTGGACTCGGACTCGGATCTGAATAGTGTTCACATCCAATATTTGGACCTGGACCCGACCCACCGGGTCCAATTTTTGGACCCATACTCGGACTCGGGTTTCGTCTGGACGCTAGGTCCCAGGTCGGGTCTGGGTCCATTGCCACTCCTACATCCATAGGGAAGCCAGCTGATGAGCTAGCCAGAGCATGATCTATCCTCAAACACCTCCTAGGGGACTGCAGGCATTTTTTTTAAGCTTGCCTCCTACATTCTCATTACCACTGCTGTAGAGCATTTTTTGATCCCTGTGGGGTTTTTAGACAGGGCACCCATTCTGGTTCTGCTTATATTTGTATCTACTCTTTGATTGTACCCTCTTTATACATATTAATACAAAAGTCAACTTACTCAAAAAGAGCATTAGTCAGTCATTAGTCAGTGATTAGTGTAAAAGATGTCCTCAATTTTCTTTTCCAAAAAGTATGAGAATGTTAGAATCCGGCAGATATGTAAAAACCATAGTCTATTGGGTCATCAGCATCCAATGAACAGATGGTGGCAGAAAGAGAGTGAGACCCACAATGGGGTAATGTCATGTTCTGGTGGCTCTGTGATTCATTGATTGGAAGGTGATTACCCAATACACTGTCGGTTTTACACCGTCCAGGAGATTACAATTTGCTTCTTCCTCTTTTGAAATGTTTTTCTCTACTTCACTTGCATTACCAATGCCCCTTCTTTTTCAATTGATTCTCTCTCTCTCTCTCTCACACACGCACACATCTCAGGTAGGACTTCTATTGCATTCAATGGGCTTTGACAACTCAACGCACATATACCTGGCTGCTGGCGAGCTCTTTGGTGGAGAGCGATTCATGCACCCATTCAGAGCCCTCTTCCCTCACCTCGAGAACCGCAGCACTGTGGCCACCCCACAAGAGCTGGCGATCATGAATGAGGATGGCCAGGGCCTGATGGGCTCAGCCGTAGACTACATGGTCTGCCTCCTCTCCGATGTTTTCATGCCCACCTATGACGGGCCTAGCAACTTTGCCAACAACCTCATGGGCCACCGCCTATACTATGGTTTTCGAACCACCATCCAGCCCAACAGGAAGGCTCTTGCACCGTTATTCATCGATCGACAAAAGGGGCGATTGACAAGTGAGGAGTTTGAGGTGGGGGTGAGACGGGTGATGAGTGGGACACACTTTGGTGGGCTCCGTAAGAGGGTTCCACCCGCATCATTTTATACAAATTCATGGCCTGAGTGTTTTTGTCAAAATTCAGCGACGGACTCAGAGGAGAGATGCCCTGTGGATAATGTGGTTGAGGTTTTGAAAACTAAGTTGGCGGGTGAGCAGAGCTCGTCTTATGTAGGTCCTAGTGGAAATGAAGTGGAAAGGGATGGACTTCTTGTTTCTGATTTGGAGGATGTGTCTGGGTAGTGGCTTTGTGGGAGACGGATTCTTGCAGGTCTCAGATGGCTAACAAGTTTTGAGCATACACGACTTCTTGTGAGGGGCTTTCTGTGATGGAGATTGAGTGGAGAAACGAAGAGCTTCACCTTTACTAGTCTACCTATAATATTTGTCTGGTTTTTAACTTTTGGTTAGTTAATCAATAGTTTTTTGATACGAGTGGCTGGGTATGGCAAGTTCTCTACATTAGAGATGGATTGGAGAAACATAGACTTCACCTTAGCTGGTCTGCATTTTAGAATGGGGATGGAATAGAGAAAAATGGTGCTTCACTGTTTCTGGTCGGCCTTAGGGTGAAGTTTATTTGAACAACGTAGAGGTGATTCTTTTAGATGGGATGATAGATGTTTTGTGCAAAGAGGCTGGAGAAGGTTGGCATGAATGGAAGAGCCAAGAGACATGATTAAGGCCTCAGTACTAATTGTGAGATTATTTGTTAGCTGACCCTTGAAATCTGTTTTTGTACTCGTAATTGGATTTGACTGGAGCTGACTATATGGACTGGAGAGGTACTGTTGCTTGGGATAGTGACTTTGGTCACAATCTTGCTGTATCATAATTGCCAAGTTCTCTACAAGTAAGTCACAGCAAGGCGATTCCTCTAATTTTTTTTAGATACTTTAGTTCCTCTTGTAGCTTGGATGAATCTAACAAGTAAAGGTGAATACTAATTGATAGGAACAGAAACATGGCATCTTACATTTTCAATTTCCCAAAAATATTTAATGTTGTATTTTTTTTCGTGACTCAATATTTTTGGAAGGTTATTGGGTATTTCTTTTTTCTTTTTTTTGGAATTTTTTCGTGACTCATACTTTTGGAAAGTTATTGCGTAGTTCATTTTTGTTTTTTTAGAATTTTTAATAGGCAGTTTTTTGACACATGATGATCTGAAGGTGGCTCAGGGCATGTGTTTACCCTGAAGGGTGTGGTTTGTATAAGGCCGAGGCTCTAAACAATCAGAATAGGCCAACTTTTAAATAGTTTCATAATGTGTTGTTTTAATATTAGAATCTTTATGATGACTTGAAAATTTATTTTTATCTCTAATAATAAAATTTAAAATTTAAAAATAGTATAGATTGAGCAGATATATGAATATTTGAAAATTGACGGTCTAGATAATACATTACAAGATGCATTATTTTCAATACTTGAAAGTTTTTTTTTTTTTCATGTCCATACATCTTGAGGTTGAGATGATCAAATTGAGGGTTTTCAACATCGAAATAATATTTTTTAATGAAGTTTTAGAGGTGCGCTATAATTTGATTGTTTCGAGTCTCACACTTATATAAACTTTTTCCCTATTCTAAAGCTACAAAAGTACATAACAATATAAAAACTCCCCAATCTATATGATGACCTGAATTTTTTTTTTTATATCCCTAACAATAAATTTAAAAATTAAAAAATAGTATAGATCGAATAGATTTTTGAGCATTTGAAAATCTTGAAAATTGACGGTCTAGATAATACATTATAGGATGAATTATTTTTAATACTTAGAAAACTTTTTTTTTTTTCATATCCATACATCTTGAGGTTGAGGTTGAGATACATCTTGAGGTTGAGGTTGAGATGATCAAATTGAGGGTTTTTTTAGCATTGAAACATTTTTTAATGAATTTTTGAGGTGCACTATAATTTGATGGCTTAGAGCCTCGCATTTATATAAGCTTTTTCCTTATTTTAAAGGCTTAGAGCCTCGCATTTATATAAGCTTTTTCCTTATTTTAAAGCTACAAAAGTACAGAACAATATAAAAAATCCCTAATCCAAATTTTAACTCCTTTAACCACTAAGTATAAAATGTATTGATGAATTTCCAAAGGAAAATACCATTTAACCACTAAATATAAAATGTATTGATGAATTTCTATGGGAAAATACCATTTAAGGGGGAAACCCTTACAAATTTGTTGAAGGGCCCAAATAATCCAAATTAACAATCGAGGTGTTATTTTTTTATTGGCATTTCACTTAGGTAATTAAAAAAAAAAAAAATAATTCAAGTTTCTCTTGTTTGGGGTTGAGAAACATGAACAAACATAAACATTTTAGTAATTTGACCTCAAAAGGTCCCAACCAAGTGACTTATTTAGGGTTAGAGAACACGTTTATGGTTTCTAATGAGAAACAATTAGGGGTATTTTTTATCTTTTTAATACATGAATGCCTGTGTTAAATGACATTAGGTCCTAATTACTCTTCATTAGGAATCTTGAATAATGTGTTCTTTATTTGTAACTTTGAACCAACATGAGTATTTTAGTGATTTGGAGGGTTTTTTGAGGGTTAAATTACTAAAATTTCTTTGATTGTTCAGGTTTCCCAAATTTGAACAACGGCAATTTGGAAAGTTTTTAATTGTTTTTGAGAAAAAGTGAAATGAAAAAAAAAAAAAAAAAAAAAGCGAACCCCTGAATATTAATTGGAATCATGTCGGCCCTTTTGTAATTTTTTTAGGGGCTTATGAATGAAATAATTCTAGCCATGACTTCGATGGTTGGGAACCCATTCGATCAAAAAGAGGTTACTCCATAGGGCATTTGAGTAAAGACTTGGCCACATAATAAAGTAGGCCAAGGGACAAAAAATGGATTCAAATGGATGTTTGTATGCCCTGCATGGTTCAGGCTTAGCTAACATAGAGGTTTGCATATGACCATTTGGCAGATGATGTTCATTTTATTCCGAAGTGCACTTTATGTTCAATTTCAGTGTGCATACAAATTAATACACTATTAATTCGATCGAGGATCGCATGCCGTTTGGCATATAGAAACCTTCTTGACAACACTTGAGGTCACTGACATGCCAGTTGAAGATCAAATATCTCTAATCTCAGTGACATGTGATTGATGATTTGAATAAACATACTATAACTTCACTCCTGGGTTTTGATATTTCGATCGAGGTTCGCATGCCGTTTGGCATATAGAAAACCTTCTTAACAACACTTGCATTTAGAATCGATACTTTCCTTATTACCTATCTTCGATGCCTATTCAGATTGGAGGCTATCTAGAGCAGTTTGAGGACATGATCATGTCCTCAAGATAGTATATTTGAAACTTGATCTTTGGAAGAGTAAAACATTGTCGATTGGATGGCGTATCACTTTGGTAAGGCTTGCCTTACTAATCTCTCAATTTATTTGATGTCCTTGTTAATGATGTCTGTTTGCAAAGAAATTGAGAAGCTTATGAGGAATTTTCTATGAGAAAATGTGGATAGAAGAGCCAAGTATTATTTGGCGAGTTTTTTTTTTTTGGGTAACAAGTATTATTTGGTAAGTTGGAATAAGATTTGTGTACCTACAGCTGGTGGAGGGAGGTCTGGGAATTAAGAAACTCAAATTGGTCAATCAAGCCTTGTTAGAAAAATGGTGGTGGAGAATTTTGTATTGTGGAGATCAAATCTAGAGTTTAGTAGTGAGGGAAAAATATGGGATGTCTAGGGAATCCATTATGTCTTTTTCTTCAATCAGGATATATTCAGCTTCTGACATTTGGAAGGGGATTATGCAAGTTAAGGAGGTGGTATCTCGAAATGTTAGATGGGTTCTTGGTAGTAGTATTAACATCTGTTTTTGGCATAATAAATGACTGGGAAATAGTACGTTGCAGCTATCTTTTATGCAAGTGTACTCCAGAATGGTGGATCAATCAGCCAAAGTTGTGGATTGTTATATTTTAGCGGCTTACAATCAAGTTTGGATGCGGCCCTTCTAGTATGGTAGCGTTGGAAGAATTTGTGGCCTTATTACATAAACTTGGCGACGTTTACGTTGCCAGAGAGTTAGAAGATGAGGTAATTTGGGAGATTGAGAACCATGGGATTTTCTCTATTAAGTTTGCTTACGGGTGTTGTATAATGATAGGCATAGGGAGGTGATTCGGGCTTTGAATGGAGTGTGGAAATTCCTATCCCCCACAAGGTTTAAGTTTTCTTATGGGCGCTTCTTCAAAGGAAAACTTTAATAGTAGTCAATTTTCAAAAAAAGGGATGTGTAATGGTGAACGTATGTATTCTTTGTAAGTAGGATGAGGAAAATTGTGAGCACATTTTTTTGCATTGTTCTTTCACTCAATCTATTTAGGAATAGGCTTTTAGTAAGTTGGGTATTCATATAATTTTGCTTAGGAGTCATGGGGATGTATTGCTTCAAATGGATGCTTCAAGCTTACCTAAATATGGCTGCATGTTATGGGTTATTTTTCAAGTAGTTATTTTGTGGGAAGTTTGGAGAGAGAAACAATAAAAACTTTTGAAGGGAAATATCGAAGAATGTCAGATGTAAATGAAGCTATTATATTTGGAGTATGGAGTTGGATTTCATTTTCAAAAGAAGGAAGGGGTATTTCAAAGGTTAACATCTGGATGAATTTAAAATATGTGGTTTTAAATAAATCACGGAAGATGAGATCAATGGAAAACGGTGGTGCACACCATAAGAGGGTTGTTTGAAGCTTAATTTCGATGGTAGTTCTTTTGGAAATATGGGGCTGGTAGGTTTTTTTGGAGGGGGGGGGGGGGGGCGGGCTAAGAAATTCAAGTGGAGTAGTTCTTCTTTCTTATGCATGACCTTGTGGGATTGCAACTTTGAATGAAGTGAAATTCTGGAGTATATTGCAAGGCCTGAGATGTATCAAAGGAAAATTTCGATGGGTTGTATATGTGATGAAAGGTGATTCACAGAATGTCATAAATTAGTGCAATGAAGTGTCGAAGACTCCTTGGAAATTTCATTATATATAAGCCGAGATTGTTGATTTATGCCATGATTTATGTGGTCTTTAAAGACCTTATGAGTGTGTAATGAAAAACATTTATCATAGCGGAATATAAACTCAGTGGGAGTGTGGTCCTTCGATGACCATACTAAGCAAATGATGTTTGCTGATACTAGATTGTGCTTGATGATCTAAGCCAGTCGGTTGGAAAACCCAAGGTACCTAGGCATAAAGAATAAACTGAGAAGGGTTTTGGGTAAGCCCTTGATGAGGTTGGAGTTTATGGCTAGATGAGTGAGCCGAGTGACTGTGTGACCCTTGTGTATGATGGTAGGCCTACAAAGACAGGACCAAAACTTCATCCATGTTCCATCATACAACATGCATATCGATCGATTGTTCAAGAAAGCCAATTATCCACCTTTTAGGTGAAGCGTATGCATGTGCGAGAGATACCCCTATGCACCATAGAGATGTGGTCGCATCAGGTCGTAGTGACCTTGACTCGTCTCTAGGGGAGGTCTTGTAATCCACAAACTGAGATTGCGACTCTTTGACTCATCGGGCAGACTTTAGTGACCTGTTAATGAGCCCCTGCTTGGACTGTGGGTTATGGAAAACACTGAGTCAGTTCGATAAAGCAAGTGTAATATGTAGTTCGCAGTTGAAGGTGGAGTTCCCAATAATTACATATTTGAATTCCTAAAACTATATGGATCATTTTCTCATCATATTAATTTAATTGTGTTCATTTTATTAGTGAAATAATTTTAGTTTTATTATTTGAATTTTTATGAATCTCTCAATATTTTATCTATGATTTTTGGACTTATAAAAATACAGTTATTGATTTTACAAAATTATAAAAGTTCAAATATATGTTAAATTGTTTTATTTAATTTTAAAACATATTTATAAAATTTCATGAGGCCCCATAGTGCACATGGGCCCACCATGTGGCATGTGGGTGGGGCCCCACATGTGCCACATAGGGGTGGCACGCCCCACCCCC